CATATTTCTTGTGGTCCTGCAGTGATTTCTAGTCATCTTGTGGGTGGTCGATTTCGTCCCAAACTTGGAAGTTCAATCACACGAGTTTTCTATACTGGAGGCTGAATTATCAGTGGGACCTCTTCATTCCTCCCCTTTCCCCCAAGATGGCTAGATCGCAGGAGCCATGGAGCTGGTTCTTGAAGAAGGGCTGTTCTGTTCCCTTCCGCCTCTCCTGGGTGGGGAGTGGGAGAGGGAATTATTAACAAGATAAAGGGCTAGGCGGGGCCAACAGGCCCAGAAAGATGCCTCACCTTAAACAAATTTTAAAACGCAAAAATTAAAAAAAAAAAAAAAGAGAGAAAGAGGAGTCAGAGACAGAGACAGAGGTAGAGAGAGACAAAGACAGATACAGAGAGAGGAGGCCTGAGAGGAGTCTTCCTACCACGTGAGTTTTCTATCTGGGTGGGTCTTTTTTATTTTTTTTTTTAAGTTTTGCTATATGGTGTGTGCACTTGGCTGAAAGAGGGTGTGTGTGTGGGGGGGGTGGGAAATCACCCCTCTCCCCACAAGAGCGATGGCCAAACCAAAACATCTTCTCCATTCTCTTGGGATTCTGGGTACACGTGCCCATTGCGTTTTTTCAAGCCATCGGTAGGAATCCTGCAGCGAGGCATGTGAGATCCAGCGTCTTAATCCGCACCACCTGGCCCCCTTAATGCCCTTTTAGAATAAGTTGAATCTGTTACAGCAAATCAGTCTTCAGACTGTTCCTAGCCTTTGACCTGGGTCTGTGTTCCTGGGTCATCCTGTGGCATGGCAGTTTAGGCAACTGGATCTCACACAGCTGACAGTGTGGTTTGAGTCCCAGACCCAGTGACTTGAGCATCCTGCTGGACTCAGTGTACATGCCCAAAATCCTGAAAGAAGGGAGAAATAGACAAGGAATTTCAGTGTGACCATTTCCTATGGGGAGTGCTTTCTCACTTTCTCTCTTGTTCTCGCTCTTTGGTGAGCATGTATGTCCCCTGGCAAAATTAAGGGGAAAAAAATTGTGCCCCAAGAGGCCAGCTTCAAGGCCTAGTGGTTAAGGAAGCTGGATCCTATATGGCGAACTGCGTGATTCAAGTCCCAGTCCAGCAGATTGAAAAACACTCTAAGCATATGCATACCCCAAATCCTGACAGAACAGAGAAGTGGAGGTAAAGGGATTTCAGCACGACAATACCCCATCTAGGGGTGCTCTCTCTCTCTCTCTCTCTCTCTCCCTCCCATCTCTGATGAGTGCACACACCTTCTGGCAAAGTTTTTTAAAAAGAAATTGCACTCTGAGACTTAAAAAACAAACAAACAAACAAATCTAGGCCAGCCAGTGGAGTGGTTATTAACATGGCTGAACCTACATGGCTGACTGCAGGTGAGTACTGGACTCGGCAGTTTGGAAAACATGCTGGGTGAGTGTGCATGCGTGCCCCAAATCCTAAATGGAAAATGGAGGAGAGGGGATTGTGACATGACTATCCTCCCTGGGGAATGATTTCTCACTGTCTGTCTATCTCTTTGCCTCTCTCCTGCGAGCACATGCACACCAGAGCAAACAATCTCGGGCCAGCCCAGAGCATAGTGGTTAAGTTCTATATATTAGGAGCCAGATCCCACATGGCCCAGTTTGAAAACTGGTCCCAGTGGCTTGAAAAATCCTCCAGGCATGTATGAGTGCCTCAAGTCATGATGAGATAGAGTAATGGAGGAAAAAGGATGGTAGCGTGACCACACCCTATGGGATGGGGAACTCTATCTACCTCTGTGGAATGCATATTCTCTCTAGCAATTAAAAATAAATTGGGGGGAGGGAGCAGCAGATGTCATGGTGATTAAGGTGCTAGACTTCCACATGGCTGACCACAGTTCAGTCCAGGACCTGGCAGCTTGCTTTCTCATTTTCCCTCTCTCTCTCTCTCTTTCTCTCTATCCTTCTCTGGTGAAATAAAAATAAAAATCATAATTATAATAATAAATATTAAATATTTCTTTTTAAAAATTTAAAATAAAAATAAACCTTTAGGAACCAGCTAGGAGTGGAGGTTAAGGTGACTGGATCCCACATGGCCAATGAGGTGGTGTGAGTCCCAGACACAGAGGCTTGAGAACATGCTGGGCACATGTGTGTGCATGCCCAAAATCTCGAGTGGAGAATGGAAGAGAAGGGATTACAGTATGGCCATGACCCCTGGGAGGTGATTTTTCACTTTCCCTCTCTCTGTCCTTCTCCGTTTCTCTCCTGAGAGCACAAAAACTAAAAATAAATAAAGCAAACCTTTGGGCTTAATGTCAAGAAGGCAGACATGCACCTATCTCTTAGATTAATTTTCAGTTTAATACATCATTCAGCAAATATTCCAAGTCTTGTTCTTTAACTCTTTTATCTCCTGAACTTTCCATTTTCTTGTTCTTCCTAAGCACCAAATCCTTATAAACTTTCCTTAGCTTGGTCACTTAGCAAACTCCTTATCATCTTTTTTTTTTTGGAGAGGTTTTTGCTACAGGGCGCGTGCGCTCACCACACAGATAGAGAGAGACATAGAGACAGAAAGCGAGAAATCACCCCCCAGAGGGGATGGACACGCCGCAATCCCTTCTCCATTCTCCTCTCGGGATCTTGGGCACGCACACGCAAGCGCCCAGCATGAGTTTTAAGCCACCGGGTCCGGGACGCGAACCATGGTCGACTACGTGGGAATCCAGCGACATAGCCATTATGCTAACTGCAGGTTCCCATCTCCTTATCATCTTTTAAGTCTTAACTGGGACATGCTCTCCTATGTGACAACTTTCTTATACATGTCAAAATGATTTAAGTGCTTTTCTCTTTGAGTTCTATTTTATACATACATATAATAATGTCTATATCATCTTATAAATGTTGCATGTCTGTTTTCATCTTGTATATTCCTTCACAAGGCAGAGGCTGGATCTGTTTTTTTGTTTTGCTTTGTTTTCTCTTTGGTGGCCTTGGAGCTCTGACATGCATATTGGGTACTCAAATGTTAGCAGATTTCAGAAAAATCTAATCCCCTACCTTGACTTAAATTCAAAGGGATTGAACATAAAATCCAGTGATATCTTCCTAGCAAACAGAAGGTGCTTTTTTGTCATTAGGATGGTTTCTGCGATTGCTGTTATCCATCAATTGTCTATCTTACAAAAATCCAAACTTTGGGGCCGGCAGGTGGCATAGTGGTTGAGGATGTTGAACTTCCACACAGGTGACCGCAGATCTCATCCCCGACCTGGTGGCTTGCTTTCTCACCTTTTCTCTCTCTTCCTCTTGCTCTCACTCTCTCCTTCCCTGGTCAAATTAAGTAAATAAAGTTAAATAAAATAAATCTTTTTAAAAAGAAATATCCAAACTTCTTTATATCAAAGAATATACTTAGCCCCAGCCTAGGTGGTGCAGTCTGTAGTTTATTGGACTGTGGTGCTGGAAGGCACATGCTGATCATGAATTTAGATCTCTGGTTCACCTGAAAATGCATTGTGCACCGGGAACCAGGAGTTAGCATAATGGCTATGTCGCTGGACTCCAACGTAGTTGACGGTGGTTTGCGTCCTGGACCCGGTGGCTTAAAACTCACGCCGGGTGTGTGTGCGTGCGTGCCCAAGATCCCGAGAGGAGAATGGAGGAGAAGGGATTGCAGCGTGATCATCCCCTCTAGGGGGTGATTTCTCGCTTTCTGTCTCTCTGTCTCTGTCTGTCTGGCAAGCGCACGCACCCTGTAGCAAAAACCTCTCCAAAAAAAAAAAAAAGAGAGATTAAAAAAAAAAATGCATTGAGCACCAAGATCCTTACTGTAGCATGACAAGCAAGATCTTACAGAGGGAACTTTTCTTTTTCTCACTTGCACATTCATGCACTCTTTATCAAAAATGAAGTAAATAAAGAGCACATAGTTTTTTTTTTTTATCTTTATTTATGTATTTTAGTTAGACCAGAGAGGGACAGAGTGAGGGTGGGAGAAGGGTGAGAAAGCAAGCCTCCAGGTCCAGGACTTGAACAGTGGTTGGCCATGTGGGAGTCCAGCACCATTAACTACTACCACCTGCTGGACTCCACATAGGTAGTTCTTTATATTATGAAATTAAAGATTAGTCGTGTTAGGGTCAACAGGAGGCGTGATGGTTGAAGCACTGGACTCCCACATGGCTGACCACGGTTCAAGTCCCAGATCTGGTGGCTTGCTTTCCCATTTTTCCTCTCTCTCTCTGGTGAATGAAATAATAATAATAATAAATAATTCTAAAAAATAAAGTAATTCCTAAAACACGATTGTGTACTATGTCTGGAACTGATTTGTCTTCTTACAGTGTTAGCAACTAATTGAAAAAATTCAAAAATAAAATGTACTTGCCAGTTACTTTTAATCTACGCAAAAAAAAAGGTAATTTCAAATAAAACGAAATCGGTCACAAGACTTGAATTTTTAATGCTAACAAGACGTTTCTCTTTCTAAATGAATTGATTGAATGAACATACAGTAAATATGAGGGATGTGGGGAACCGATATTTCCATAATTGAGGCAATGATGTGAGAGCTCAATAGCAGACACTATGTTCAGCGTTATTTTTCTAAGTCTCTAGCAGCCAGCACATTTTAGGTAATAAGCAATATCATCATCTTAAATGATTTTCTGAGTCACAAAATGCCACTTCTACCACACACTATAACCTCCAACCATGAAAGTATTTGCCATGAACTCTTCTTCCTAGATTAAAAGAACATTCGCATATCATACTTGAAACGGATTTACTGGGTCTAAATTCATTCGTATTTCATCGCTGCTTTACTACCCAGGTGGTGGTTTCACTTGTTGGCCTTTAAGACGTACCTAAACCCCAGGCCCCAAGTTTCCAGATGCCTACACTGAGAGACACCGGAAACGCAGCCTGACGCAGGTCTGGCCGCTGGGCTCGCCCTTTAAATGCTCACGTGAGCGAGGCGCTGGCCTCTGGGCTGCGGCGCATGCGCTGCAGGAGGCGCGCCACAGGAAGCGGAGACGCGGTGAGGCGTGGGGTGAGCCCCTGAGGTCTCGGCCTCGGCGGTCTGGACCCGGGCCCTGCGCGGCACTGGCGGTCGTCGCGACGTCACCGTGCTGGGCCGCGCCGCACTCGCTGCCGGAGCTCGCTCCAGGAGTCCCAGGCTGTCGCTCCGTGTCCGCGGAGCCACGGGTACTGGCGTGGGCGGGGGCCGCGGCGCGGCGGGGGCGGAGCTCCCAGTCCCGGGCCGCCCATTGGCTGCCGCGCCGTCTCGTTCACCGTTCTGGTCCTGGAGTTGAGTTGCAGAGCGACCAGCCGTCGGGAGTCCGGGCTCTCGGGGACCATGCGCTTTGCTTTTCCACCGAGGTGTTGAGTGCAGCACACCAGTTGGAGCGCTCCACCCTCAGTAGTTTCCGGAAACAATATGGGTTTCTATTATTATTTTTTTTAATTTTTTTCGGTCGGTGGAAGATGTTGGCATTCATGTTCACTTCTAAACGAACGACTTGTTGGCATCCTAAGTGATTTTATTTTTCTTAGAACGGTATATATTTTCTCCCCCAGGTGCTCATATCCTTATTTTCCATGCCAGATCTTGAGGACAATATATGCAAAAGATACATGAAGATGATAACTAATATCGTTATATTGAGCCTGATCATTTGCATTTCTTTAGCTTTCTGGATTATGTCAATGACTGCAAGCACCTATTATGGTAAGTGTGAACATAGTTTATTAGTTTCACGTGCCCTGTGAAAATCAACTACTAAAGACTGCATAATATTTACATTGGCTACTTGAAGGATTTGTCTGCTGTTTGGTCACTTAAAAACAAGAGTTGGTTTTTCTTTTTTGGAGAGGATTTTTTCTATATATAGGGCGCATGCGCTGGCCAGACAGACAGAGAGACAGAAAGCGAGAAATCACCCCCCGGGGAGGATGGTCACACCGCAATCCCTAATCCTTTCTCCTCTTGGGATCTTGGGCACCCACACACACGTGTCCGGTGTGAGTTTAAGCCACCGGGTCGGGGACTCGAACCGCGGTCGGCTATATGGGAGTCCATATGGGAGTCCAGTGAAATAGGCATTACGCAAACTGCTGGTCCCTAGATATTTTTTTTCAAGAGCTTGAAGCTATTGTGCATAATTATAGGTACTCTGAACTTAAATCTTTAAGGTTTTGAAGCTGCTTTAGAACATAAGCATGCCTGTATGCAAACTCTCTTGGTACCCTTTACAAAACAATACCAGTCAATTCACAATAAAGGAAAAAAGGGAGAGAAGATGAACTTTTACCAATGTTTGTATGGCATATGCCATTTGGGATCTTCCTCCTCTGTGGAGAGATGTGAATGATTAAGTGTCCTCCTAGGTACTGAAGCTCTCCAGCTATTAGTTCATAAAGATTTACAGTAGGAATTGCGAAGGGAATTAGGGAGCAAGATTCAGCATTAGCTATGACTTGAACTAAATAGAATGACCCATAATTTATAAACCAAAGTGTCTCCTGGGGCCAGGCACCTAATGAAAATGAGTGAAGCTGTATAGATCTTTGCATATTAAACAGATGGCTGTAGTTTTTACTTCCAGAAATATGATTCTTCCCCACTTGTTGAGTATTTGACCTGTTTTATCTTTCATTTTCCTATTTTTGATAGAAACGGGGACAAAAGCAACAGTTCACTGTTTTCTTCACTGTAAAATAAATTACTCAACTTGGTGGTGTCTGTCAGGAGAGGTAGGGCCTTTAAATAGAAAACTCATGGCCTGTCTGAAGGAGGCAGCCTCTCTTCTCTTTCAAATAATTCTGACACGGGAACCAGAACTTCTAGTTTCTTTGTTTTGTTTTGTTTTGTTTTAAGGTTTTGCCATAGGGGGCGTCCACTGCTGGAGAGAGAGAGAGAGAGAGAGAAATACAGTGAGGGGGAAGATGAGAAATCACCCCCCAGGGAAGATGACTACTCTACAATCACTTCTCCTCCATTCTCCTTCAGGGATTTTAGGCATGCACATGCATGCTCGCCATTTAATTTTCAAGGCAGGACTCAAACTGAATTGGATGACATGGGAATCTAGCTCCTTAACTGCAGTGCCCCTTGCTGGCCCCAGAACTTCTTGCTTTTAAAATAGAAGCCAAGAATCTGGCTCACTAGAGAGAAAGCCACCAGGTATGAGACTCAAACCATGATTCACCACGTGAGAGTCTGGTACCTTAACCACCCCAAGAATCTGAATTTTTATAGGCAATCTCTTCATATTTAAATACTGATTTAAATTTTAAATACTCAGCTACACAAAACATCTGTGAGCAGGAAGCAACCTTTGGAAAAATCCATTTTTAACCATTGAATCAGGTGTGCAGCCTGTGAGAATGTTACTTGCCTTTTTTTTTTTTTTTTAATCTCTCTTAATAAGGAAGAGAGAGGAATAATAATATCCTTTTTAAAATAATAATGTTATTTAACTTTATTGATTGATTGATTTTAATTTGACCACAGAGGGACAGAAAGTGAGAAAGCAAGTCACTAGGTCCAGGACTCAAACCATGTGTGTGAACTCGAACCATGGTTGACCATGTGGGAGTCCACGCCCTTAACTACCACACCACCTGCAGGCCCCATATATCCCATTAAGAAAAGAGTTTGTTTGGTGTAGTCCTTGACATTTAAATGTGCCTCTTTTTTTTAAAAAAAGGAGGACTCAGAAATTAATTTCAAATCTCCCAATACCCATGTTTGAAATATCTGTTATCACAAATAGTTGTAAATGGTTTTTAAAACTTGAATATGACCTGTTCAACCATTTCCCAGTAAGAGTGCCCTTCTGAAAATATATGAGTCTCACATATTTCATTTTGGAGATTTCATCTTTAATTATGACAGCATTTTAATCCAGAGTGCCATTACCAAAGCTTACTGTTAAAACTAGCCTGTATAGACGGCCATAATTTATGCTCCACTTTTATCTTTTGCAGGTAACTTCCGGCCTATTTCTCCTTGGCGTTGGCTGTTTTCTGTTGTTGTTCCTGTTTTGATTGTTTCTAATGGCTTTAAAAAGAAAAGCCTAGATCACAGTGGAGCTTTAGGAGGTATGTTTTTATTTTAAATGTTTAAAGTATATAGTAAATGTTTGCTCATATAATTTAAACTCATCTTTTCTAAATCTTGATTATATGAGACTGCAAATCACAATGTTATTTTTAGACTGATCATTTTTTTTAAAACTTTGCTGTAAGGCAAATATATTTGAAACTTAGCACTGTCACCTGTTATTGACAGCACTGGCAAATCACCAGACCCCTAGGTGACTTTCTCCTTCGCTTACGAAATGCGGTAGGTCTCGCAGTAATACCTTATGGGCTTATTGGTGAGGCGCAAACAGGATAATGTGTGAGACAGTACATCTTTGTAAACTGTAAAGCAAGATATAAATGTTCACTGTTCATGGTTATCTGACTTTCAATCATCGTTTCTATGTGAATGGCTATTAAATTAGCATTGCCTCATTTGTTTCTCCACATCTCTGCTTATCTTACTCTCTCCCTCCAACCTCCGCATACCTCATCATATATACATTTCTTAAAAATATTTCATTTTATTCACAATTATCTTTTTTTTTTTTTTAATTTGACTGGAGAGATGTGGAGGGAAAGTGACAAAGCAGGCGGCCAAGTCCAGGACTGAACTGCAGTTGGCCATCTAGGAGTCCACCTTCACCACCACACCATCTGCTGGCCCCCACATATAAACTTTTAAAAAACAGAATTGCAGGACCAGCAGGTGGCATGGTGCTTAAGGTGCTGGACTCCAACTGCAGTTTGAGTCTCAGACCAGGCTTCTTGCTCTCTCACTTTCTCTCTCTCTCTCTCTCTGGACCACACATTCCCTATAGCAAATTAAAATAATAATAATAATAATAAACAATTTTTATTAAAAAAAAAAAAAAAAAAAAAAAGAGTTGCGGGACCAGCAGGAGGCATGGTGGTTATGCACTGGGCTCCAAAATGGCCAACTGAGATTCAAGTCTTGGACCCAATGGATTGAGATGCATGCTGGGTGCATGTGCGTGAGTGCCCAAACTCCTGAAAGGAGAATGGAAGAGAAGGGATTGTGGTGTGGCCACCACCCAGGTGGTGATTTCTCACTTTTCCTTTTTCTGTATCTGTCTTCTCTCTCTTATACTCCAGAGAGCACACACACTCTATGGGAAATACCTAAAAACAAACAAAAAAAAAGAGTTGCAGCAAATTTAGTTTTGCAGATCTTAGTTGACTTTAATTGTGATTCTAGAATCAGGTATGAGTTAAAAATAACTCAGAATGCTGCACACTACCACATGTGCAAGTTATAAATTAAACCTAGTGGAAAAGCAATGGCATACAGAAACAACCTGATGATTACAGTCAGCATTTGCCTTTGTGGTCATGCTTTAGCAGCTTTAAGCCTTTCCTTGGCTTGCAGGTTGGCTGCTGTGTTTGATTGAGGCTCAGTTGCTTGGTTACCAGGTTATAAAGCTAGATTGCATTTTGGTATAAAGGGAGGCTGCTTTGGACTGGATTTTATCACCCAAGTTTATAGAGGTCTGGTTAGACAAATTTAATTCAATTGAACATTACTGATAATCGTCATTCGCATCAATGGAGAAGTATATAGAGGCATCTTAATTTGCTTTTGTATTGCTCATAAAAATACCTGAGGCTGGGTGACTTACAAAGAAAGATTTATTTGACTCACAGTTCTGGTGGCTAGAAAGTCGGGGAACCAGCAGTTAGCGTAATGGCTATGTCGCTGGACTCCCATGTAGTTGACCGCGGTTCGTGTCCCAGACCCGGTGGCTTAAAAAACTCACGCCGGGCACGTGTGCGTGCGTGCCCAAGATCCCGAGAGGAGAATGGAGGAGAAGGGATTGCGGCGTGACCATCCCCCCTGGGGGGTGATTTCTTGCTTTCTGTCTCTATGTCTCTCTCTCTGTCTGTCTGGTGAGCGCACGCGCCCTACAGTGAAAATCTCTCCAAAAAAAAAAAAAAAAAGAAAGTCCAAAGGTATAGGGCTGGCTGCCATAACCTTCCCTGGCTAATGTGTACCTGAGTGGAGGTGCTGTGGATTAGAGAATAAAGGATCCTTGGGTGGTCAGGACTTTGCAGCTAGCTATTCACATGTATTCACATGTTAATGGCATTCATAGCTTTACGACCTTGTTTTGTGCCTAAAGGTCACGATGTTTGCTCAGATTCAGGCCTCTCCCTACAGCTGGCATCAAACTGGCCTCCATCACAACATGGTTGACAGAAGCAGAGAGAAGGGTGGGCATGTGCCGAGAGAGAGAGTCCTGGGGCAGCCATCTTCCTTACAGAACAGTCCATTCTCTTTAAGAACTAACTTCCCCTTTTTTTTCTTTTTTAAAAGAATTGCTTTATTTAACTTTATTTATTTATTTTTAATTTGACCAGAGAGGGACAAAGTGAGAGAAAGCAAGAAAGCAAGCTGCAAGGTCCATGACTCGAACCTTGGTTGGCCATATGGGGGTCCAGCGCCCTTAACCACCACACCACCTGCCAACCCCCCCCCCGCCACCTTCCCCCCCGCCTTTTTTCTAAAGAATTATTTTATTTAACTTTATTTATTTATTTATTTTAATTTGACCAGAGTGGGACAAAGTGAGACAGAGAGAGAGAGGGAAAGTAAGAAAGCAAGCTGACCGGTCCAGGACTCGAACCATGGTCAGCCATGTTAGAGTCCAGTGCCCTTAACTACCATGCCACTTGCTAGCCCCAAGAACTAATCCCTTCTTTTAAGAGCTAGAACTCACTGTGAATCTGAACCTCCTTAATACTTTCATGAGAGTGTTGGGACCAGCAGTTAGCGTAATGGCTATGTTGCTGAACTCCCATGTAGTTGACCGCGGTTCTAGTCCTGGACCTGGTGGCTTAAACTCATGCCGGGAGCGTGTGCATGTGTCCCCAAGATCCTGAGAGGAGAAGGGAGTGCGGCCTGGCCATCACCCTTGAGGGATGATTTCTCGCTTTCTGTCTCTCTGTTTCTCTCTGTCTGTCTGGCGAGCGTACACACCCTAGAACAAAAAGCTCTCCAAAAGAAAAAAAAAAAAAAAAGAGAGAGTGTTGCCTCCCTGATGCAGTCACCATCCTACTGGGCCCCACTTTTTAAAGGTCTCACCACCTCCTTAACGCTGAGGACTAAATTTCAGAACATGAACCTCTAGAGAACAAACCATAGCATTTCACTCCTGTCCCTCAAGATTTATGTCATTTTTCGCATATAAAGTCTAATGATCCCATTCTGTGAGTCCCGAATTTTGTTCCAGCACCAGCTCAAAAGTTTAATATGAAACAAATTACATGTTCCCAAAATGCAATGGCAGGTCAGATACAAGGTAGACATTCACATTCTACAAAACTGAAGGAATGACAGTTTCCAAGCAAGTCTGAAATCCAAGAGGGCAGACATTCAGTCTTGAAATCTCTTATGCCATATCCTGGGTACACTAAGGGGGTTTGCGTCAGGCAGCATTGTCCCTCAAGTCTTGCTGGGCTCCGTTCATGTTTCAGCTTTCTCCAGCTGGAGCATCACACCTGCCACTCCTTCATGCTGGTGCTCCATGCTCATAGCTCCCCAGTATTGGGGTCTTAAAGCCATTCTTCCCTGTTGTTCCACTAGGCTTTGCTGATACAGGGATTCTCTGTGGTAGTTCCGGCCCCACATTTGCTCTTGTGTTAGTGGAAGCTCTCCGCAGTGTTTCCATCCTGTGACAAGTCTGGGTGTAGGCTGTCCGAAGCTTTTTTTTTTTTTTTTGCCATAAGACATATACACTCATCAAAGAGCAAGAGGCAGGGAGAGAGAGTGAAAGCATTCTCCAATGGTGCATGGTCACACTGCAATCCCTTCTCCACTTCTTCCTGTCCAGATTTGGGGCACACATGCGCATACACCCAGCATGTTTTTCAAGCTTCTGGGGCTGAGATTTGAACTGTGGTTGGCTGTGTAGGATTTTTCTGCTTCATTGCTAGGCTGCAGAGCCAGCCTTGTCTGAGTCACTCTTTGGGATCTCGGTGGAAGTCTTCATGCCTCCACAGCTCTTGAATTCTGCAATCCTCCAGAATTAACCTGCAAGTGCAGGCTGTCAGGGTCAGCTACTGGCACATTTTGGAGCCTGGGGTGGAACAGCAATCTTAAAGCCCTTCTGAGCTCCACCTACGGCCACCTGAAATACAGCCAAAGCTGATGAATGCTTTACTGTGTTGCTGTGAGAGCAAAGTCCTATGGTGACTCAGGTCAGAGGATCTGCCCAGGTCCAATCCCTTGAGACTTCTGCTCTCCTAGGCCTCTGGGCTTATGATGTGAAGGCTCTATCAAATGCCTTTTGGACTTTACTTCCATTTTCTTGACAATTATCACCTGCATTTCTTCTAGCCATGCTAGTCTCTAGCAACCAGAGTATTGCTCCACTTTTCTCTGCCATACAGGTTTTTTCATTCTTTGCCACATGGCCAGCCTGCAAATTTTCCAGATTGTTCTGCTGTACTTTCCTTTTAATTATAAGTTATATATATATATTTTTTTAATTATTTAATTTTGTTTATTTATTTATCTAATTTGACTAGAGAGAAACAGAGAGAGGGAAAGTGAGAAAGCAAGGTGCCAGGTCCAGGACTCGAACTGTGATGGGTCATGTGGGAGAGTCCAGCACCTTAACCACCGTGCCACCTGCTGGTTCCCTTATAAGTTATGTCTTTTAAGTATTTTTTTTTTTCTGCCTGCATCTTACTATATACAATTACCACTAATGTTATAGCTCCTTCTATTCTTTACCTTGAAATCTTATTCGTCAGCTCTTTATCACTCTTAAATTCAATATTCACTAATTAGGACATGAACATGTGGGAATGAGATTCTTTGGTATGACTAATACTGATGACCTTTTCTCCAGTTTCCAATAATTTCCTCATTTCTATCTGACACTTTCTCAGAAGAGCCTTTACTGTCCATATAGCTACCACCATTGAGGTCACACCCACTTATCCAACCTCTAAAAAGTTCCGATTCATTTCTAAACAATTCTTCAGAGCCTTCA